TTCAGCAGGGAAATGTGGGGTTGATGAATTGAATTGAATAGCTCGTTATAAATTCAGCGGGCTATATATGAGTGACCGGAATCACTCATATAGCCCGCTGAATTTATAACGAGTTATTCAATTCAATTCATCAACCCCACATTTCCCTGCTGAACATCAAATAAACTAAGTAAACTAAACTATTTTTCCCCTAAAAAAGACCAGTGCGGCCAGCAAAACTTGAGGAGATTTAGAGTGTAATAAGTTCGAGTCCCGCAGCTTTTCTTCATATGTTCATCAGAGAATAGAGACAACAATAACCAAGATCTTCGCCGTTACTTTTAAAAGAATCTATTCTTCGGAATTAACCAACGTGTATGAATCAGAAGTAATCGGTGTGACTTGGTCCATTCTATCCAAGCACGTACACACGGCCATTTGGTACTTTAGTTTGTTCCTTCTTGAATCCTTCCCTCGTATTTTTTCGAGCGAGTTCAACATCAAAAACTATTGTAATTTTTCTCATTTTTTCCCATCTGCAGACTTTGTCATCGTTATTTGCGGGAAGAAGCATGCGGAGTTCCAAATCCGATAGCAAATCGTCAATATCAAAGTTCGTCAAAGGAATGATGTCAAACGTATTTTGAGCTATAAACAAATCGTCACTGTTCGACATCGTTTCCAGAATGACTGCTAAGAATATTTGATAACAATATTCAAATTTCGATTGCTCGCTTTCGCATGAACAGGTTTTCTTAAAGGAAACTAATTTCAACAGTCCATGAAAAAGTCTCAAGAGAAGAGGATTCTATTGTTCGAAACCCAACTAAGAAAACATTCATTAAGTCTATTCAGTTTTTGCGAAAACTACGTGAATTGAAAACTAAGTTTGTTAGTTACCTCGCACGGAGTTACCTGCGGCCCTCGGGCTGTATATAGCGTAATGCCTCCGTTCTCGGTAACTAACTCTTACGTCATTTATATTTTGTATCGCTAAGTTTTGATTTGCTAACAAACGATCTGCAAATTGGTTTTTGAGCTATATTTTCTTCTTTCGCAAGAAAATGCTAAATATCAGTGTCCATCATGTGGACGAAATGGAGACTACAATTGACAATATTATGGCAACATTCAACATGGTCATATGGAAGAACTATTAGAAATAGGTATTTTTGGAAAGTTCTGAAGATATGGACCAAATACTAACAAATATCTAAGTGTAAATTAGTCATCCAGTCGTGATAATTAAATAAAGTGATAAGTCAAATGCTGGACCAAAGTTGAAACGATTCACGACGTTTCGATCGATTGCACCGATCTTCCTCAGGTAGAATGACCAGTTGAATCACCAACCAGRGTTTTATTGTGAGGCARRCGGCGAGGAACGCCTTTCAGAACAACATCCCATGAGTGCGGTAGGTTGAAACGTAGGCCGCCCCTTCTGTTTAAGGTGGGATTTTCAATTCGTTCATAGATGGCTTCTTTAATCCCTCTCCTCCGCCAATCAGCTTCTCTGTCCAGAATGGTGACGTCGTTGTYAATATCAAAAGTGTGATCTACTTTCACGAGATGATTGAACACTGCTGAATTCTCTGCTTCCAATATGTTGGGTTTCCTGTGTTGACGCATTCTGGCTCTTAGCGCTTGCTTCGTCTCACCCATATATGTTTCTGTGCAATCCTCATCTCCACATGTAATACAATAGACCAGGTTTGAAAGTTTGTCTTTAGGTGTCTTGTCCTTGACGTGCAAAATTTTGTCCCGTAGTGTGTTGTAGGGCTTGTAGAAAGTTTTAAAGCCAAAGTCCTTGAAGGTAGATTTCAGCCTTTCCGACAACCCGGCAATGTACGGTATACAAACACTGACTTTGTTTTCCTCTTGTCCACTCGTAGGTGTCTTGGTAGAATTCTTGCTGGCTTTGCGAAACACCCATTTAGGGTATCCACAATCACTCAAAGCTTTTTTAATATGTTCTTTCTCTTTTGTTAGCGTTGTTGGTTCACTAATGATAGTATCAGCCCTGTATTGGAGAGTTCTGATCACACCAAGCTTATGGATCATCGGGTGATTGGAATCAAATTGGAGGTAATGATCCGTATGTGTTGGTTTTCTATACACGCGTGCATGTGGAAAGAGAGCCATCATCGTTAACGGAGACTAAACAATCCAAGAACGGCAAAGTACCATTGTTGGAGGTCTCTTGGGTAATCTTTATGTTGTCGTCTTGTTTATTGATGTGTTCGAAAAAACTAGCCTGTTCCGTCTTAGGCAAAACAACAAAAGTGTCGTCCACATACCTCAGGCGTTCCTCGCCGCCTGCCTCACAATAAAACTCTGGTTGGCGATTCAACTGGTCATTCTACCTGAGGAAGATCGGTGTAATCGATCGAAACGTCGTGAATCGTTTCAACTTTGGTCCAGTATTTGACTTATCACTTTATTTAAATACTAACAAAGTTACGGGGGAATAAAAATACAGGGATTTGTATAATCGCTGAGTTCTTGGTAGCCTCGATTTGGTGTTTTTGTACCACTTCTAACCCTTATAGCTTCAAGAGGATTTAATCTTTTTCTCTGAAACTTTTAGGGATTTATCTTAAGCTTCGATATCTATCAACTAAGTGTTTTCTTTTATTAACATTATGAATTTAGCAATAATTTGCTAATAAACGTCGGCCATTATGAAAGTCGTCAATAATTTGACACCATATCTCACTTTTAGCTATTTTTTCTCACTATTTGGCAACATCGGTATTTTATGATAAGTTTCGTAACGATACAAAGCTTAATACAAGCAAATTGGTCCCGGTTGGAATTCCTCGAGGCCTATTACATCAAGAATTTACGCCCGGGAATTAACGACGGCTTGAAAGCCTCTAGAGAATTAAACTTGTTTTAAATACGATTGCAAAATTGTAAAATAATTAACATGATTATGGTTCTGAATTAAACCGAAATATTGTTGAACAACGTCTCGTTTATAATCCAAATTTTGGATTTTACGATGTTATCCTTCCTCGGACTCGTTTTTGTCATTCAAGCATGAGAGTTACAGGTGTTTTTCTTCGATTATTTAATCAAACTCCATTGTTTCTTGAAAATAAAACAATCAGAACCGCCATTGTAAACCTCCCGCTGATTAATTGGAAAAGAACATTGTCAAAGTGTTTCACATCGATCACATGCATTCAAAATACAAATAGGAAAAATATTGACTACATTTTGTTTCCTCATAAATTCTGGCTTTATAATAGATTAGCAATTCTAATAAAACGAAACGCTTTTTTTCTTCAGTTTTCCAGATCTTCTTTTTTTCAATTTTGTCGCTATGTATAACAACCTCTCTTCATTTTTAAACTGCAGCTCTATTTTACTAGTGCTGTTATCATTATCGAAACTCAGAATGTACCTTGCTCTTGTGTTAGCAGTAAATTTTCTTACGTATTCTTAAAATTCGAAAATAATTGATCGTTGAGTTACGACCATTAAAACTCATAGATGCAAGCTAAACGTACATACAGAGATCAACGTGGGAAGATTAATTATAGGAATAGAACAAGAACTGGAATTAGTGAAGGAAATTGCATATCACAACTCAGATACCCCATTCTCTCATCATTACGTATATACAAGACTACTTTTACAAAAACAAACTAATCAAAGGTTGTTCTACATTTATTGTCATCTATTTGTTATTTGAATCACATCAAAATTGAAAWGTTTTCTGTGCAGCGTTAGTTCGCTACTAGATTTGCACGCCATGACAAATAACTCTTCAAATGCGAGTWCTRTTCTSCTTGACGGTTGCTCAGTCTATTTAGATCGACCAGTTTGGGTTGACCCGACTCATACCGTSCTTGCTGTTGTCAATGGTATAGCGTCKCCTCCAACTGTCGTTATAAACGYSTTGATCATTTGGGCTGTTCTTGGTGATGAAGATCTTCGATCATCTTGTTTTAACMTTTTGCTTRTAGCTTTAGCAGTGACYGATTTCCTAGTRGGACTGYTGGTCCAACCGTTGTATGCGTTCTACCTGAGATGTGTTCTTAACACTTGTTTTAGCCTCTGTTTTCAATTATTTTCCKTATATTTTGTGGCAGCCTTGACCTGCTGTGGTCTGACGATATTTAGTCTTGCCTTATTGAGTTTGGAAAGATACCTTGCTATTGAACAWTGGAACTTCTACCTTACTTATGTTACAGAAAAAAGAGTCACGATCGCGACTATACTGTATTGGTTAGGCAGCCTAACACTTTTGATCAGCACCAGTGTTTTTGCGCTATTCAACAATCCCCGTCTATTCACAGTTCCAGCAATGGTCTTCGCAGGTATCAACACTCTGATCATTTTGTACTGTTCCATCAAAGTTCATATCACAGCTTCTCGTCAGAGTAGGACCATCGCCCTACAGAAAGAATCAGTTCAACAGCCCAGCGAACAACATCAACAACAGCAATTAGGATTTACCGAAAACAACCAAGTGCAAGAAAGACRACAATGGAAATATAAGCAAGTGTTTATGATGAACATGTTAATGCTAATGTCGGTTCTCTTTTACGCTCCTATCATTATAGTAACAGTGATACAAGCTATCGAGGGCAGGGATGTCACCAGCGATTTTATTTATATCGCCATGCCTATCGCTTCAACTTTCATTCATCTCCAGTCTCTCATCAACCCGATCCTTGTCTCACTGCGTCTATCGTACATTCGTAAAGCTATAAAAAACAAACTAAGTTCTTTCTTTAGTGCTGCTTCAGCCGAAGTCCAAAGTTATGATGTCCGAAACTTCTAAAATATCAGTGCAATTTTGCACAAGATTCTCACCAGTTTCAGTTCATGCAGACAAGTGACGTATTTTCGATTGAATCAGCGACATCATTTTGATTGCAGAATCCATCTCGGAGGAGTCAACGAGTTCCATGGAGAGATATATATGTTCTTATTTTCCAGCAATCTGTAGGCCACAAATGGTTACCAGCGAGAAATTCAGTAAAAAATAGGCAAAGAATACTTTCTAAGAATTTTTGACAGGAAAATCTGTCTGTGTTATCACATGACCGGAAGCTCAAACGTATAGATGTACGAATATCGTTAGTAAATGTTAGATTCTACTTGCGCTTTTATGTGATAAAAAACYATTCGTTTACAAATGTGATATCTGTGATCTGGCATCGGAATGCATCAGTCTAGGCATCAAAAGTACGCGCATGTGCGGGTCGCATGGAGCTTCGAGTAGCGTAGTATGCTTACGGAACTGAATTCCAGCCCTAGACAGTCTTGTTTGGGCAAAGATTTCAAATTAGAACAAGAAGAAACTTTGTTTATCAATAACAAAAAGGCGACTTTGATTATTTTATAGGCATCTTTTTTAAAGTATTTATTTTCTTGGCCTGAGAGGTCAACAATTTGAATTAAAAACGTATTAGATATGATATCACTCCTGCTCAGGGTATTAATTACATGACCTTTTTAGGTCCAAATTTAGATTTCTATCGTTTTGAAGTCGTTTCAGAGAGCAGTCAAAAAGAATATCCTATCGTGCGCATTCTTGCTTTCACTATGTATTAGTAGTAAAAATACAATATTCTACGCCATAATATATATTTTAAAATAGCTAGTCCGACTTCACGTTCCAAGAGCGTCTAGTTTGACCTTAAAAATGTTTGCCTTGGTTTGGTAGGAACAAAATTATTTTAAAGAAGGAAGCTTAAGGGCGCCACATTTGCTTGTGAGATTGTCAACAATGTAGCTCAAAACCCCTTTCCCAGGAAGAAATTCGTACAAGAAAAGTTATTTAGAAGAACAGACCCCGTCGGCTCCTTCAGCCCATCCATGTCGACGGCATCAAAGACTCTAATTGAGATGTATCGATATATGTCCGCTCTATTTCATCATAATTATATAGAAGAACTTATCAAACCCCTGAACGTTAGTCATATATTGGTAAAATTAAATCCGCCAATCAGCGCGCGTGTTATATTAGAATTGAGCTTATATACTAAAAGTGAATCCATGCTAACTCAAATTACTTAGTAATTGTCTACTGAAATACCTGAGTAAGAATGGATGCATGGATGCATCGCTTGGCACAAATGAATGCACGTTTTACTCTAATGAACACCAAAATGTGTAATTTACATGTTAAATATTTGATATTAAGTAACAATGCGCGCAAGAAGCAGGCAACCTTCTATTGTTCTGCGGCAATTGCAACTTCCCCRCAYRCRAATGTCTTGGTTTTCACACTGATTATATATCAACCTATGGGTAACAGATTTTTAAAATAAAATGTGGATAAACTCTGTTTTGAAACAAAGTTTCTTTTGTATTAAAAGATCTTGTCCAATCATAAGCACTCAAAACAATAGCCAAAAGATGCCTCTAATTTGCTATGTTCCCCACATAGAATTGCTATTAATATTAAAGCTAAGGAAAGCTTTTATGAAGTTAGAATCAGATATCATTAAGTTAAATAAAATATTAAAAAATGCGATTACTTTTGAAATTATGTCAGATTTTAATATTTTAACCAATGAGATGGATGGATTATACAATACACAATTAGCACCTTCACGCCGTTTGCTTGCCTGCTTCTTACTCGGACCATTACTTAAAAACCGAGTGGCTCCTCCATGGTCTCCTTCTTTGCTTCGTAAAGTGTCTCAGGATACCATCGACACGAATKGTCACGGCTATTTTGGGGGACACTTTTTTGGATTTTGTTGCCACGAAAAATGCGTTGCTATTGATGGATCTCGTTTAAATCAAGGTAAAAAAACGTTCGGAGCAAAATTTAGATCCGAATCTTGTTGCTCTTGTTGCCCTTGTCGCTCCATGTATGTAGGGAGAGGATTTTTGGTTGAAATATCTTCTCATGGCATAACAAAACGGAATGATGCAGGCGCAGAAGAGAGAAATCAAGCTACAATTGTAGGATTCCTTTTAATATTGATTATTTTGTCGAACTGTTACAGATGGAGTGTCATCTGTGACGATCCGTAACAGATCGTCTATATTGGACATATGAATATGAAGACCGCATGGCACTATGATAAACAYGATATRGAAWTGADAGAAAGTTATAGTGCTTAGAAGGAGGCAATTCCGGGAGAAGTCCCTTAGGAATAAATTCGGAAAAATTAATTTCCGACCTCGCTGGGATTCGAACCCACGACCTTCGGATTTGTACACCGATGCTCTACCAGCTGAGCTACAAGGCCAGACTGGGAGCAGGTCGGGGTGAAATAGATGTTAAGGTTGCGGTAATAGAATAATGTAAAGATATGAATATGAAGACCGCATGGCACTATGATAAACACGATATAGAAATGAAAGAAAGTTATAGTGCTTAGAAGGAGGCAATTCCGGGAGAAGTCCCTTAGGAATAAATTCGGAAAAATTAATTTCCGACCTCGCTGGGATTCGAACCCACGACCTTCGGATTTGTACACCGATGCTCTACCAGCTGAGCTACAAGGCCAGACTGGGAGCAGGTCGGGGTGAAATAGATGTTAAGGTTGCGGTAATAGAATAATGTAAAGATATGAATATGAAGACCGCATGGCACTATGATAAACACGATATAGAAATGAAAGAAAGTTATAGTGCTTAGAAGGACATACTTGATAAGCACTCAAAACAATAGCCAAAAGAACCTTCTAATTTACTATGTTCCCCACATAGAATTGACTCAATATTATAGCTAAAGAAAGCTTTYATGAAGTCGGAATCAGATATTAAATAAAATATTMGAAAATKCKCTAACTTGTGAAATTATAGCAGATTTTCATGTTTTAACCAATGGGATGGATGGATTATACAATACACAATTAGCACCTTCTTGCATTCCTTTGCCGTGTGCTTCTATAGTTCTTACTCGGGCCATTTCTTAAACTGCATTCTCTGTGTTGTTTCTTGATTTTTAAGCACAGGGTACCCAAGCTTGGTTTTCGATTATGTCGGACAGTGTTCAGGTGTTCAGCAACCACTGGAAAAAATCGCGCTCCTCGAAGGTTGTAAATTTAATGGAAAAAGTATGTAAATTTGATGTAGAATGTATGTAAATTTGATGGAAATATGATGTAAATCAAATTTACAATGTATGTAAAAAGGTTGTAAATTTGATGGAAATRTTCTGTAAGTGTCCAAAATGATGGAAATATTACTTACATCAAATTTACACGCTTTTTACATCGTTTTTACATCATATTTACAGCGCGATTTTTTCAAGTGAACAGCAGGCTCCTTTGTCAAACCAAAACATCCTTTGTTTTAGTGTTTTAGCTAAACACTCAATAGGCTACGAATTCCTTACACCCCGTATCAATAAGATGTCTCCAGGTCATTGTCGTGTTCTCTTAATTTAGAACGAGCGACGAGATGAGATGTGGTCGGACGTGATTGGATATCGCCATATTGTAAAATCGAATCGAGGGCGAACTGGCACCGAGTTTAGTCTATGGGAGTTTTCGTGGAATTATGCGAGCAAATGGTTTCCACGAATTTCACCAGCTGGACATCAAACTAACCCCTCTATCCCTACAGACTCGATTACAAATTTGCTTGCGAACAACAAGCTGAGCAATGTCAACGGACGGCATTCAGTTGCAGACTCTAAGGTACATTTATAGAGTTATAATTTTTTGAATGACTATTTCATGTGGACGTTTATTAATACACTGTTTTATTGACCTCCGTTTGGAATGTCCTTTAGCATGTCTAGCTCACTATCTAGTAATGTCTATATACCGGTATATCAAACTCATTCCACACATTGGTGAGCATTAATTTGCTTTATATTATTATGTTTTAACTCGAAATCTTCCCGTTGAGTCTCTTTTGATCAAAGCCTTTCAACGACCAAGTTTTCTCAAGCCATTCAAAACACAAGATTACGTACACACTAAAAACAAAGCGGTCGTTGTGTTGATAATATCAACTCGCCAAATTGTATTGATCTAAGAATCCTATTACTAAGCAAATCATTTTCAAAAATTTCTTCTAGTCTATTTAAAGTTTGATAGTAATACAAATGTACTGGTGTACTATATAACAGACTTCATTAATCACAAAAATACTGGACGGAAAAATTAGATATGAATAAGATATGAATAACGCTTCAGTGATTCTAAGTGCCATAAGAAGAGAATTTTGACAACTTTTGGGATAGAATGCTTCAAAAAATGAATTTGGTTGTAATTAAAATGTCGCCAAAGAAACTAGACAAACTACTGCTGTTTCTGATAATCGTCAAGACTTACACTTTCGGCTAGCCATGGTTCAGCTTGGTCTAAACAAAGTAAAAAAAACACAGTGTCTACAGGTGCCCGGCAGCCGGTCACTGCCCTCAAAAGACTAAATGCCCGGCAGTCTTGTTTTTTCACACAAAAATCAGTAAGACAACTAAGATTGAGTGTACCAAACCCTTTTACATTTATTAAGAATTGTCAAGCGCTTGCCGTGAGCTCAGTGGATTTGAATTTCAGCAAATTCTTTGACCTCGGCACAGAATACGAAGCACTCATTTGAGGCACTTAGAAAATTTTCACGATCGACTGCCGGTCACAACATAGTTAATAGATTAACTATGGTCACAACCTCCAAAAGACTATATGCCCGGCAGTCTACATTTTTTGTGAAAGTAATATAAAACTACGATTACCGACATGAAAACATTCTCCCTTACTTGAGAAATGTCAAGCGCTTGTCCTGAGCTCGATCAGTGGGTTCAAATCGAGAAAACTCGTCGGCCTTGGCAGTGACATCAAAAGCACTTCGAACGCGTGACTGCCGGTCGCAACCCGGCACTCTAAATTTCTTGTGAAAATGCACTGAAAAAATTACGATTCCAGACATCAAAACACTATACCTTCGCTGAGAAATGCCAAGCGCTTTTCCTTTGAATTTTTGATCGGGATCGCTTGATCGAAATTTAGAGTGCCGGGCATATAGTCTTTTGGAGGTTGCGACCGGCAGTCACGCGTTCGAAGTGCTTTTGATGTCACTGTCAAGGTCRACGAGTTTTCTCGATTTCAACCCACCAGGTTGTAAGTTAGCCAGCGAGACTTTTCCTATATACTTTGATTAATTCTTCTACATAATCTACGATGTAAAAGTCATATAATAAACGAGTTATTAACATCGCTTGCTCGATCTGTACTGGAAAATATCATACCTCGCTCGCTGCGCTCGGTCCGTACTGTCAAGATCTCGGTCTGATATTTTCCCGTACAGACCTCGCGCTCGGTTAATAACTTCTTAGTATTTAGACTATATTCATATGGTAGTGTGATCGTCGAAAATTTAAACAAAATACCCCTAAAATATACCAGTCTCTTACGAAAAGGGGGCGTGGCAACACAATATTTTCACTCCTAAAAGATACCAACNGATAGTAATACAAATGTACTGGTGTACTATATAACAGACTTCATTAATCACAAAAATACTGGACGGAAAAATTAGATATGAATAAGATATGAATAACGCTTCAGTGATTCTAAGTGCCATAAGAAGAGAATTTTGACAACTTTTGGGATAGAATGCTTCAAAAAATGAATTTGGTTGTAATTAAAATGTCGCCAAAGAAACTAGACAAACTACTGCTGTTTCTGATAATCGTCAAGACTTACACTTTCGGCTAGCCATGGTTCAGCTTGGTCTAAACAAAGTAAAAAAAACACAGTGTCTACAGGTGCCCGGCAGCCGGTCACTGCCCTCAAAAGACTAAATGCCCGGCAGTCTTGTTTTTTCACACAAAAATCAGTAAGACAACTAAGATTGAGTGTACCAAACCCTTTTACATTTATTAAGAATTGTCAAGCGCTTGCCGTGAGCTCAGTGGATTTGAATTTCAGCAAATTCTTTGACCTCGGCACAGAATACGAAGCACTCATTTGAGGCACTTAGAAAATTTTCACGATCGACTGCCGGTCACAACATAGTTAATAGATTAACTATGGTCACAACCTCCAAAAGACTATATGCCCGGCAGTCTACATTTTTTGTGAAAGTAATATAAAACTACGATTACCGACATGAAAACATTCTCCCTTACTTGAGAAATGTCAAGCGCTTGTCCTGAGCTCGATCAGTGGGTTCAAATCGAGAAAACTCGTCGGCCTTGGCAGTGACATCAAAAGCACTTCGAACGCGTGACTGCCGGTCGCAACCCGGCACTCTAAATTTCTTGTGAAAATGCACTGAAAAAATTACGATTCCAGACATCAAAACACTATACCTTCGCTGAGAAATGCCAAGCGCTTTTCCTTTGAATTTTTGATCGGGATCGCTTGATCGAAATTTAGAGTGCCGGGCATATAGTCTTTTGGAGGTTGCGACCGGCAGTCACGCGTTCGAAGTGCTTTTGATGTCACTGTCAAGGTCRACGAGTTTTCTCGATTTCAACCCACCAGGTTGTAAGTTAGCCAGCGAGACTTTTCCTATATACTTTGATTAATTCTTCTACATAATCTACGATGTAAAAGTCATATAATAAACGAGTTATTAACATCGCTTGCTCGATCTGTACTGGAAAATATCATACCTCGCTCGCTGCGCTCGGTCCGTACTGTCAAGATCTCGGTCTGATATTTTCCCGTACAGACCTCGCGCTCGGTTAATAACTTCTTAGTATTTAGACTATATTCATATGGTAGTGTGATCGTCGAAAATTTAAACAAAATACCCCTAAAATATACCAGTCTCTTACGAAAAGGGGGCGTGGCAACACAATATTTTCACTCCTAAAAGATACCAACTAAAAATGTTTGTTGATTAAACGATAAAGTCAATGCCGAAAGGGGAAAGAAAGACATCGCTAGTGTGCTATACGTCAATCGGCAGTTTTGGAGGAACTTCAACAAAAGATTTCTCATTAGTATCTATTGTCTATTCCTCCAACATAGCCACTGGTCTTTTATCTTTTGAATCTCATGGGAATGGGTGAAACGATCAATTGATTTCGGAAAAATGTAAGGTGCAGAGCTGAGTCCAAACGGTAAAACCGTAAAACAGAAATATTTTTGCTTCCTTGAAATTCCCACGAATAACCAAGATTGGTGTTCAGGAATGTCGTAAGGCAGTATTTGCTTTCTATAATATTCTTTAGTTAAAGAGCTATACGGTATTTTTTCAATAAGCAGTATTTGCACTTTCAATTTACACCTGACGTTTCCTCACGCACTAGCGGTAAAACCCTAATCATGTTTTGCAAAATGTTTATTGAAAGGAAACAATGCCATCTAATTATCACAACAATATACTTCAAATAACTTTTCAAGATAGTGTTAGCTCTAGATGGCCCAGTTCCCACGCACTTAATTTTAGTTGATATTAGAATCCCATTGTTAAGATATCTTATTGTTTACTCATTAAGATGTATTTGATGGTGTTTTCCTAAAGGACAATACACCATTTCGCGGATAATTCGAAATTTTACATTACGTCGTTATGGTAAATCATTGACATCACTGGAGAGAGCGTCATAAAATCAGCAAATTTGCCAAGCTTGAAAATAATCTGATTAGAATTCAAAGAGATACGGCACTTCAAAAACACTAAATTTTGCTTAGAAATGTTTGGCGAGRTTGTRACAAGTCAAGGTCAACCTCGATCTCATGCCGACAGCCCATACATTTCTCATGTAAATTTTGGACTTTTAAACGCTGTATTTCCTTGAATTTCCATCGAATCATGCTCAAACCTGGTAAACATACTAATTTTATACTGTTCTTCCCAGTGGTGGTAATCGTTTTTCGTTATTTGCTCAATTTCCGTGTTATCCGCGAAGTGGGCTATTGACTTTTACACTAATTAAGCTGTATCTAGGTTTTCTGGGAAATACTGACAGCTGCTCGTATGAATTCATTATTTTTTCAAAATTAGTCATTGACCTAATGAGTTGATCTGCGGGCTGCAAGCTTCGCAGCTTTCTCTTAATTCATACATAATGTACAGTTAAGTGGCATAACTGCGCAATCATCTTAAACACTCGACTTTCTCTCTTACATCGAATATGGCACTTAGTAAAACTCAACTTTTACTATCTAGGCACTAAAGAATCCAAGAGTTTAGTGCCAGGAAAAGAAGGGATTTTCCTTTGCAATGATTTTTGTGTTTACCTAGTAAACACCACATACTTTAGCTTTAGCTATTACTGAGCAACCAATGGGATATCTCCAATCAGTCATGTGCATGTGACCACGTCCGCTGACGAATCTAAGGCTCAAATCACTTGTAAGTGTACCGGACAAAACCTACTGCAACACATTTYCTTGTACACATTCAGAAATATACTCAGATCAAGGGCGCCAGGACAACCATAAAATTAATACTGTGAATGATATTACGAATATTTGTTATAGCTTTGAACGACCGAATATACTCTTAGACTTCACTTATTTGACTTCTATCTCGTGTATATCTTGAGTTTATCCCGAATTCTCTTGGTGGTTGGTCGGCACTTTTCTCCATTTCAACAGCTGCTGTACGTGTTTACTTCAGTACACCACCGCGGTCGTTTAGTATAATGGTACCACACTGTACCGATTTAACCTACATCACTAATATCGTTAACAATAATATAGTTAAGAAATTTACCCTAAGTTCACTTGCCCTTGCTCAGATTAGTAGAGTAATATAACGTACAAGCTAAGCAAGTCGACGTGACATAATAAAAGAAAGATAATAACCAGCCAGTGCCTCTACAGGAAATATTTCTACGTGATGATATCGAAATTTCAAATCAAAACTAAACAGATTGCCTAGCAAAGGGACCAAAAAACGACCATCTTCAAACAGATCCAAAATAAATCGTTTCTTTCCCGACTACTGCTATTTCGACCACTGGTTCGACCACCTTTTGCTGTTCATTGCTGTAAATGTGCCAATGCATAAAGTGTGAAACAAGGTCTTAATCGGTGAATGCCTTTGTTTCAGCCCATCATCCACTGCSAATATGATTCCAAGTGCAATCTCGCAAGATGGTGATGAAGATGACTCCCCGGATTCGCTGGATTGTATTTCCACCACTGAAGGTAGTATCATTATTTCCATAGTCACTGTTGGATATCAGTCGTCAGGGACGTTGAAACATTCACACAAATACACGTGTGCTTATCTGTTACAAACTAGCCAAACCCTTCTCCATTGTTTAATACAGGTTTTGAATAGTCCTTTTACAAATTAAAAGGAACAAAGCACTGTTTATTTACTTGAAATAACACTCTCTGCGCAAAAACGATAGCAATATTTTTTTCCACATGGAGATTTATCGTGTTTTTACCTAAGGCTGAGGTTAATAAGCCTTTTGGAAATACAGGGTTAGCCTCAACTCGGGGAAAAAGGAAAGTTCTTTTTTGTGTGTTTGTTGAGGTCTTTGCGTAAGAGAATCTGCTGTCAAATAAAACAGCGGTTTGCATTTTCAAATGAATTATTTGTAGGAAATGATACAAGACAGGATTTGGATTTTAAACTGAACTATTTCAGGTTTTTGAATTTATCCACTAGTACTTCTATCGTACATTTCCTACTTTTCCTTTAACTACACGCCGAGCTTGAAGTTTTTACATACGCAAATTTAGTCTAGATAAATTGCAATAAATTTTATTAGTCAAATTCTACATTTTATAAAAAAAAATATTGTTTTCAACATTCTCGACACTGGAACCCTCAATTAGCCTACGTAGCGGCTCTAGGGAAAACGGAAGGGGAGAGGGGTTGGGTGGGGATAAACGCTCTTTTTTCCGCTCATCCCCCACCCCCCCTCTCCTTCTGTTTCCACTAGAGGCGCTACGCAGGCTATGAAGTTATCGGTTGTGACGAACCCTTCGAAACCTGCTTCTGATTGCTCCACTGTTCGGCAAGGTTTTGTTTTATTGTTTGGAAGGGCATCTATCACGCCATTTATCACTAAATTCGCATTGAATGGTTCGTGACGAACCCAACAATTCCCTTGTCATGCCTTTATCTTACAAACAATCAAAATATTAAAAACAGGTAACGATAAATCCCAGAAGTGTTTTATCTACGTACCTTCATCCACCACTGACCTTTGTGACGTCATAATGTACTTCCTGGTCACTTATCATTACGTTTCATTCAGTATACTTGTCAATAATAGGTCTTTCGCACGAAGCGGTCATATGTTACTAAATCCGCCATACGGCATGAATGGCAAAAGAATGTAAACAACCTCAAAAACAAAAGAAACGCGTCCCGTCAAGCTTGACTTTTTCTTTGTTTTGAACATCCCAGTGGGTACTTTGCCATCCAGTATGGAGGATTTAGTACCATGGGACCGTTTTATGCAAAAGGCCTATTGTGTCACTCAGTTAAGACCCCCTTCGCAGGCTACTCCATCGGAAACGGACATTTTTCTCTTCTTGGTCTTCCTGTGTTCATATTCCTGACCGAGTTGAACTGGTGTCGAGAGATTAGGAAAAACGAAYAAGTATAAGAATAACTCCTCCTGCTTTTCCTTCCTTCCTAGCCCCCTCCCCCTCCGGCAGCTTTTTTGCTTAACACAGGAATCCCACGGAGTAGAGTTGACTGCGAAGGAGGCTAAGTTAAGACAGGGACGTCCCTGGTTAAGACTAGCATTTCAATAATCCAAATGTGTAGCTATACTTTTCGATATTTTCTTCCAACAGAACCATCCATATTCTCTGCATCAAAGAGTTCTTTTCGTCGATTTAACTACCAACTTTACTTGGCGCTTCTGCTCACAGACWTGTTGCCAACAGTTTACCAGACAGTCCGTATTCATTATCTGGGAGAGTTGCCACAAACATGGGGTGTTAACATTGCCTCGCAGCTGCTCTGGGTCAATGTTCTTTTAGAAGTCTTCCAGGAGTTTTTAATAAAACCGTTATTTCATTGCATAGGAAAAACTATCAGCAGSCCCTGCGAAACTGTCAACAAAGTGAAAACTGGTCTTCTTGTGACATTTGTTKTRTATTTACTGTGTGCGGGAATAATTGCCGGAGCAGCGTCRCCGATGACCGAATGGATGGCACAAGATAAGACGCTCATCACTAAAACAGTTGCCTATGTCCGACTGGAACTGATCGCTTTACTTCTTACGAGCATGGTCGAGTTTTTGACGGTTGTTTTTGTACTTTTAGACGCTCAACGCCATATCTATGCTATTCTTGCGATAAAAATGAGTCTKTCAATTAYACTTGAYACGTTTTTCCTCAGTGAGTCGGTGSATGTCTCTCTGAARCTCGGRGTCAATGGTATTGCTTACACAAACRTTGCTACTKCTGGKGTMACGTTGATATACGCTTTTTCAGTATTYATTAAAATGTTTCGTGGTTCTGGCTTGCTAGCACGACCTCGATTCGGTTGGCTACGTGAATGGTCTTCTGTCGGGCTGTTCTCGGGTCTAGACTCCCTTGTGCGAAACGCAGCTTATCTGTTGATGATCGTTCGTATGATGAATGTAATCAAACACCAAGGAACATACTGGTTGGCAAATTCGTTTGTTTGGTCATGGTTGTTGTTGCCATTCAATTCTCTTTCGAAAGTACTCATCCAAGATACCTCGAACGTGCATGACGTCATAGCTCATCGATTAAAAGCCCCTGCTTATTACTGGATCGCTGCATGTATTGCGTCATTATGGTGCATCACAATCCCCGGATGGAAGACATTTTTCAACGTGGTACTCAATATCAACAACCCAGGGGAAGTTCTTAGGTTGGCGACTATTCTAGCACCTTTCTATATGTTGTATATGGTAAACACACTGATGGATAGTGTATTTTATGGCAAGGGAAAAACAGAGATGCTGGCCATACAGTCAATTATCACCAATATCGTGGTTTATGGTACCGCGTT